GCCTGTGGAGCTGCCAGGGGGGCCAGAGTGAAGAGAAATCATTCTGAGAGCCCTTCGAAAACATTTTGAGAGCCATCTAACATCCTAGACCTTGAGATCAGTCCCCCAAGTCTCTGAACCAATCCCCAATTCATGGCCCTCTTCTCGATCCCAACTCCAGCCAGCACGTAACAGTGACCGTGGTGACAGTCCACAGAACCCCTAGAATGAGTCCCAGTTCTGATTCCCTTTCGATGGCTGTATTGACACTGCTCAGAACTGCTTCACCTCTAAAATTCTGATCTCCACCCCTAACTTCCTTCTATCCATTATACACAAATGTCACACTCATTTTATCTTCAATCTCTACCCCTTCCCATTCACCCAATTTATCAGTGTCTTACTGATCAGACTTCTTACAACCCAGCCCAAATCCACAGCCAATCTACAGTAATCTCTAATGGCCCTGCCCTTCAGACACTCCTACCTTATGAAGCCTGACCCTGGCAAAATCCACTTTTTCCCCACTCTACCTTCTTGGCAGCTAAGCATCACTGAGGAAAAATAAAAAAAACCTGACTCCTAGCCTCTACAATTAATGATTTCCCATCTCAAACTGGTTTTCAAAGGCATTCCTCAATCTTTTTACTGGGCTTTGGTCCGTGTCCCCACTCAGTCCTCTGGGTGGTTAATATTAACAAAAATGTGAGACATGACCTACGGTAAACAGAATATCAAAACAATCTTGAGGGTGTTGGATAAAATATGAGAAGAGAGCCAAAGGCTATACATGGGCAAAGCAATTTAGCTCAAATCCCTATGTCCTTTGGGTTCTACGTCAATTACTTTCATGGCACTAGGACCGTGGTTACTCTAATTCTTACAGACTCTTAGAGTGTGAAAAATGTGGTGAAGCGTGGACCACTGGGAAAAATGACTGCTTTCAACTCCCTTCATGCCCCAGGTACCCTTCATACTTACTATACTTTATCAATGACACATACCAAACTTTTGTTTTCAGTTTAATTTATTCTTTGCAGTTTAAAGTGAAAGTTAAAACATCAAACAAACCACAGAAGCTTTAGGTATATAGTATTGACCAGTTTTGAAACAAAAACAGTGAATGATCATTTACATACGTTTCTTAACTCTAATTTTACATCTCGTTATATAATGGTACTATTGATGCACACATTTCTAATTCCTTATACATAGACCTATTTGTCAAGCAGCAGGATGGCAATGCATCATAGCACAGCACACAATGTTTCCTTTAAGGAACCAGAGAAGCCATATTTGGTGGATGGTTATGCACAGAACTGACTTGGAAGGGTACTTACTGTTAAACACTGGTCATAAGGCAGGCAGCCCATGTACATTAAGAAATGGAAAATGGAAGTTGTAGTAATATAAGATAAAATGCTATTCTTTATGCTTTAAGTTAAAAGCTATAGGATACTTTAAAAACAGACGATACTAGGTGCTTGAATTCTAGACTCCATTAGTTGCTCCAAAGTCTACAACCTTTGAGTACTGCTCATTAGCTTTTAAAAGTCAACTTCAAATATAAAAGCACCTGAAGTTTACCAGTCAAAAATCTAATGTTACATTGGTTACATGTTACACTAAAACACAACTTTTAAGAAAAACGGACTTTAAAAAATACTGCATTGTTGACTTAAAGTAATTTCAAACTACGTTGCTGCTAAAAATAAAAGAGCACTACTTTCAAATCTTTCAACACGTTTTGGTTTAAAGTAACATTTTGTGAAGCCATTAATATGGTTCACCCATCTTCCAGCAAAATATATTCCCACCTTTCAGCAAAATAACAGTTGAACTTGTTTTTAAGCCTAGCATCATCTAAAGAAATGGGTCAGCCCATAGGTGAATTAGCTATTCACCCAAAAACTAGGTATTTAATGTTTCCACCATGAAAACAATACTACAAAATCCATTGGATGAATTCTATTTTTAGCTTGATGTAAATGTTAAAAACCTCACTGAACAGTGCCACACAAATATCTAGTGTTTTTTGGCATTGGAATCAGAGCAATGCAAACCAGTACGCTTGATACAGGCAATTTTCACAAAAGTGTCAGAGGCAGAAGAGATGTGGGAATGGTTGATTGGAAAGGAAATGACACAACCTATCAGAGTCCTCAATTTTAGAATTAATCCTCAAAAGATGGCATAGTTGGTCACCATCTCTGTGAGTATTCAGACCAGATGGATACTTGAATGCACTCTTAATGCTCGGAACCTTCTAAGCTTCAAAATTAACCACAGGCGAGTCAGTCTCCCACTGAGAAAATGAAAATGCACTTATGAAGTTATGGTTAAGCACAGCTACAAAAGCACTAACAGAGAAATGGGAACAGAAACATTATCCCACGCAAATAATTGTGTGTTAACACTCCTCTCGCCTATCTTAGCGGCGGGCTTAGAAATACGTACTACGGTGAGTGTATCGAGGGCAAAAGGAATGCAAGAAAAGATAAAAGCTTTAAACAAAGGAATTCGTTTGCAAAACATTCATATTGGCATCAGTGATTTCTTTTTGCACTCCGAAGAGTTAAAAGGTGGTAGGGTGTAAGCTACTTAATATGCTTTTGGATGTATTTCCTAAGTAAGTTCAACAGACCGTTTCCCTAAATCCTACTAAAAAAGATATCCCTGAAGCATAAATGTAAATAATACCAACATGTACACCTTCACGTGGATTCATTTGTAGTCACCTGTGGATGACCCCTGCAGATTTTATGAAGTTACACCAGCCATCGTTCTTTAATACTGAAACAGTACAGAAGCTCACTGGCTACTTAATGTTTGTCAGCAACTATGGTTAGTATCTAAACCTAAGGTACACACCAGAAAGCAGAATCCACAGCTCAAAATATTAGACTATGAAAGACCTATTTAAAATATCCTCCCAGTAACCAAGAAGCCTTTAGGCATTAATTCTTTTCTAGCTGATGACCGTTTTAACGTGATAATGCAGCCAGAATGAAGCACAAAAATTAATGCTTGCAACTTGTGTCGCGGTTCTGTTCATCGCCACAGTCACAAACAGAAAACTGCATCCAATAAGGAAATGACAGAAAGAGTATGTGCCTCTTCTCAGTTGCTGGGGATCTTCCCCTAGCAAATACTGAAAACTAAACTTATGGTCTGTAGATTCCCTTTCAGTTTATCCAAAGGGCTACAATGATGGCAGAGGCAAACCTCAGGAACACAAGCTGGGGCACAGCAAGTGCGCCTGTTAACAAACCAACTGTGGGCGTGAAAGACGAGGTATCAGACGTGGTTGCACACGGTTGTAAAACAGAGGGGAGTGTCTATGATGACTAGTTCTTGAGGAAAAAAAAAGGGGAAAAAACCTAACAAGAACTTGGATTAATACGAGACACCGGCTTTGCAGTTCATTCTTGTACAGAGCAGGTAACACTGAACGGGAAGGGTCTTTGAATTCCTATCTCTCTTCCCTGGTGAACACCCAGTCCAAAGTCCAGTGAAGACAAACACGGGCACCCGGCAGATTATTTTCCAGTGAGGCGGGCATGGTCACCACTCTATTTTATCCTCAATACCCAGGACCTCTGAGGTCTTGCCACTGAATCGTTTGTGAAGAAGTACTTTCTCCACAATGCATGCCTTGAGCATGAAGTCCTCCCACACAAAAGGGAGAAACTAATCCTCTTCCTGAAGTAGAAGACAGTTTCTTAGATGCCTAAATTACTACTCTAAAACCTTGAATAGGTTGCAAAAAAAACTGTATCTCCTAGAGGACCACTGTAACAGCCTAAGAGTCAGGACGAAGTTCCCCAATAAATAACCGCTATCCAACAAAGAAAAATAAATTTACAAACTATTTTTAACCTAAGATACCATCAACTGTAGGAGGCACCATGTGTACCACTAAGAAAAAACAGGCAATTAAACCGACACAATGCCTTCCTAGCATGTAGAATGTTGATATTTAGTGAAACGTTGTTCTAGAGTTAAACGGGTTTTTATCACACCAATCTTGCACATACCTGAAGAAAGTGTATGAATTAACTGGTTAAGTTATAACTATAACTTCATATTCTGAGTCCAACTCTTCTGAATCACTTCTCCAACCACAGCCGCGGAGGTCTGCTCGCTTCCACAGAACAGCACCCTTGGTGTCACCCAGAGCACTGGGGAGGCAGCGTTTCTTGAAAGGGTGTTCCACCGTGGCTTTCTGTTTCACGTCAGCAGACAGCTTGGAGCAAAACGATGTTTGACGCCTTAAAGACAGTCCTGCTCGGCGCATGAATCGATCACACCAGCCTCTCGTTGCTTTGAATTTTGTTTCGTCTATTCCCAGGGTTTTGGCAATTTCTCCCGCCTTCGACCGCATTGCCTGGCGCGTGACAGGCAATCCTTTTGCACGCATCTCACCAACAAAACATAGTACAGCTTCGTCCACTTGTGGGTATCTTCCTTTCTTAGGCCCCGTGAAGCATTTTGTTGTAGCTTTACAAGTAAATATGGAAGCACGGTCGTTCCTCCAGCGACGGATGTTGGCTTCGCTAATACCGAACGTGCGCCCGGCTGCCCTGTTTCCATGCTTTTCTGCGTACAGGATAACTTTTCGTTTCAATGCTGAATCATAGTGCAATCTTTTTGAAGACATTTTTAAATGCCTCTTAAACCTGACGCGTTTGACACCAATAATACAGTGATGACGCTGTCCAGGACAAGCTATTAGTACGTGCACACATGCACGGGTTGGGTAACTCCATCATAACCATCTCCTGGCTGACGGTAATCATGAGCTACATCCCAATTTCAGACAAGGTTAACATATGGTAACAAAAACAAAAATACAACATACATTATAGAACTAATAAAATATGGTTTTTCAAGCCTGTAATGTTTACCAGATTCACACCAGTGCAAGAAAATAAGCCCAGGAGGCAAAGAGTAGAAAGTATGTAAGTGAAAAGCTAGTGAAGCAAAAGATTATTCTTTAAGATGGAATTTGCAATGGTCTGATTTGGTTTTAATTCCCTTTATTTTCATATGGCTTACATATAAATCTTTTTTTTTTTCCAACTGGACTTAAAATCCAAGTAAAAAAAAATGCAAAGCCAAGTCATTAAAGACAGAGGCTCCTCACTGCCTTTCATCATTCACTAGTACAAGACGAGGGCTGGGGGTCAGTGGCCTTCATCAGCAGGTGCCCTCCTTTGGCGAGCAGATCTGATCCTGTGTGAGGATGACGAAGTGTCTTCTTCTGTTTCAGAGCCTGATGGCTCATGATCTCCCTCCTGAGATCCTGTGTCTCCCACCAGTTCCCGCAGAAACTTGAATTTCGATAGAAAAAGATGCCATACAAAATACCAACCTAAAAAGAGACAGAAACATTAAGAAAAATTATTACAAGCAATTTTATCAATTGAGAACATTCTAGTTAATTGTATAGGCATGGGGGTATTTCACCAAACAGTATGTAAAATACCAATATATATGTGATTACAAATATATTTTTATGTAACAAACATTTATTAAGCATTTACTATAGACAAGGAGTAAGAATAAACTCTTACATTATACAAGGGTGGTAAAAAGTTTCTGCCTTCGTGGAATTTAGAATCCAAGCTTGGTCCATCTACATTAAAATTATCATGAGATTATGATATCTACGTCCAAGTGTTTCTTTTATTAGAGTCAAATTTCTGAGAGCACTTTTCTGGGGAAAAAAGAATACACTCTGCGCTTCCTTGGACATTCACATCTCAGTGCTAATATTTACTAAAACCAAGTCTCCTTCAACTGCAAGGTGAAGGCCATGCCATGGCAGGAGCACCCGCACTTCAGTAGGAACTTTGGTCAGGGGTGCTGGGGGCTTCAGCAGTAGGTTAAGCGTCCAACTCTGGGTTCCGGCTCAGGTCACGATCTCACAGTTCATGAGTTCCAGCCCCGCATCGGGCTCTGCACAAACAGCGGGGAGTGTGCTTGGGATTCTCTCTCTCTGCCCCTCCCCGCTCATTCTCTTGCTCTCTCTCTCTCAAAATCAATAAATAAAACAAAAATGAACTTCCGTCAGACTCAAGCTATTCATAAGTTTCTAGAAATAATAAACTTTCAAAGAAAATTAATACATTTTCTTTCATTACACGACAAAAGAATAAAGCCAGAGCACCACTATCGAGGCTCAAGGTTTTTAAAAACTTGGCATTTTCATGTCAGAGTCATTAAAAAGTCTGAACAACTCTACTTACAAATAAAAAAAAAAAATCACTAACCAAGTTTTGTTTGTTTTACGAGAAGTTTGAAGTTCACTACGTTTTAGGTGCCCACGAATAAGGATCAATCAATCAATGAGTGCACAGGATAAAACCTGTGAACCCATGATAGTTGCTCTGAAATGTTAAGAGTATATGAAAACAAACAAAAGTAACCACTGTAACAAAGCTTTCCATGCGAGTGCCTTTCACTGTGCCTTCCACTTTATACACTCTAGCAGAAAAGCAATTGATCACAGCATATCCTGATGAGGAGCATTATATGAAAACAAAATCCAAGCACCTCTTCTACCCCCAGCATTACACCAGACCAGGATGAATGGCCAGTGAAGGAAATTTCTAATTCTACTTGTTACTTTCTTGCAATCTCTGAAGGAAAAGACAGAAAGAAAGACAGAAAGACAGAAAGACAGAAAGACAGAAAGACAGAAAGACAGAAAGAAAGAAAGAAAGAAAGAAAGAAAGAAAGAAAGAAAGAAAGA